ATATTCTTCTCGAATATTGGTAGTGTATTTCTCAGCCAATTTCTGGTCTCCTTCGACAAAGCTTCACTAGAGGAAGTAGCTGACGATCTGATTTCATCTTCATCAAAATATTCCTCAAGATTGAAAGAGTAGCTCTAGGGTGGAAGATCGAGTGCCTATGTATAAGGGAAATCTTGATTAGGGGGTTTGAATCAGTTTATCACAAAGCGGATGGCAAAGAGGATACAATACCTTCTTTGTAGTAGCCTCTATCCAAAGAGGAGGAATAGCTGATAATGCACCAATAACATCTGGTTGAATTGGCTCTAAGCTTCCAATGTTGGTATCTGCAATGGCAAGGAAGATTTTTAATTCATGATTATTGCAATAAAAAGGGGCATACGACTTCCTTACCATCAGGTGTGTGCCGGATTGGGGAATCGGCAGTATGAGTATTAACAACAAGATTATTCCCAACGTCAATAGGATCGTTGTTAATAGGTGAACTGCCAGACTCCTGTTCTTGCATGGGTGTTTCCTCAGAGAGTATCTGGCATCATAAATAATCAAATAAAGGGTGGAAAGCTGAGTGAATCAAGAAGTTAAAGAAAATACTCGAACGAAATATCAAGGGTGGAAACTCACATTTTCTGCTATTGTGGAAGTATCGGTTACTTCAACAGAGATCGGCTCCTTTCATGGAACAGCCGATGGAGGTTCAGTTGGTGCTGAGTCAAATGCCTGGGATGGCAGTTCCACACTCAGAGCAGGTTAGGATGCAATGCTCGATAACTATGAAGGGACGAAGTCAGCAATTGAATATCATTTTGAGAAGGAGATGAATTGTCTACCTGAGCAGCTGATGGTCTCGTTCTACGGAGTCTCTTCCCAGTAGTGGTTTTCTAGGTTGCCCCTTGGACCACCTTGTGCTTTGAAGATTGATATGTCACAATTATGGGGGCAGCAGGAGTTTTCATCAATTTCTTCAGTGAAGGCGTAGTCGATCCCATTCTTGAAACCGGGCATGGTGGCTAGTAATCTATATGACACCCCTTCCTATCCAAGCTCAGAGGATCAAATTCAACATCCTAAAAAGGTCGATTACAATGGTTAGTGGAGGAATTTGTCAAGCAGTTTTCTTGAAGAGAAATAGCAAATTACCTCTCCGTTAGAAGCAAATTTTCCATCTAGGGCTATACACAAGGGGTGGACCGATCCACAGAAAAGATGGGAGCACCATTCTTGCCACCAGGAGTCAAAGAGAGTAGAAGAACGGCTGACTCTAATCCAATCATGCAAACAGAGGGAAGGAAGATCTGATCCCAGTTGAAAAACTTTTCTGGCTTCCAGTACTTCACTGATATCTTCCTATGGCTTCAGTATGTCCTTAAAGAATAGCTGGGGAGGCAATTGACCAAAACCAAACTGGCGAGCTACAAAGGATGGGTTGTAAAACTCATATGTTGGAGGATTGTCTGGAATGAAAGAGCTTGTGGTCATTTTGCCATGGCCATGACGAAACTCGGCTGGAAGAGAACAGGGCTAGATGAAAGAATTGAAGATTGCAGCCGCCATATCGTCCGAACAACCTAACTCAAATCGAAACTTGAATGGGAAGGTCAGCTCATCATTCTCATCATCATATGGAAGCCAAGTCAGGATGTTCACATCAAACCCTCTGCAGAACTTCTTGAAGAGATGACCAATATCGAAATCAATTGTTATGGCCGATGCAGCCTCACCATAGCTCATGCACTACCGAGTTCTTCCTTCTTCACCTCTATATTCCTCATCAAAGTTGGAAGAAGGGAAACTCAGGCTTTTGAGATCAGGTCTCAGAAACTTATGCATATACAGGTTAAGCCACAGTTGTATTAACCACCAAGGGACGCTGACAGTATGCACTGGTTCATTCTTCAGTAATTGTGCAGCCACCTGGTACATCAGATGATAAGTAGCTCCTAGCAGATACTTTCCAAGAGGGATATCCTTGCCTAATGCTAGGTGCTCCGCCATGAGTTTGTGATTGTAGGTTGGACCACAAGATGACCCATAGAAAATGAATCTTTCCAGCCACATGTTTAGAAAGGCCACGTATTCCCTTTCGCCGATAGCCGATCCATCTCCAACGTGGTTCAGAATGTAACTGGCCCATCCTGTACAGTCTGCTATTTTGGCTAATTTCTTGGAGCCAGCACTCAAATACTCATAAGGCTGCATTGATCCAGTAATTCTAAGGCCAATCAACATGCAAACAATGGCCAGAGTGATGGTCATTGGACCATGACCGAATACAAAGGCATTCAGGGCATTGGACCAGAAGTAAGATGCAGAAATCAGGAGTGAATCATTCCTCTCCATCCCAGACAATGAGAGGCTCAAGCATTGATTCAGATTATAAAGCTCCCAATCTCCACCCTTTTTCTCAGACACCATATGGAACCAATTTCTCCATCCCTTAGGCATCTTTGGCCAATTTCTAAAGAGAATTTTGGTATTCCAAGAGGACAAATCCACTATAGATTGTTTAAAGGGGATTTGGTTGGTTTCTTGGTGGATGAAATTAGATGGATCAGGATCGCCTATAGGCCCAAGAAAATTGATATTGGAAGCAGCAGCTGATGGAATCGATATTTCGTTCCTCATTTCCTAGAAATCGGACGAAATAAATTTGAGAAGAAAAGAAATACGAAGTAGCGGCCGATGCTTGGAGAGTGGAGACTTGGAGGCATACCTTAGGGATGTGGTCAATGGTTGCCATTGCAGCCGAAATAGGTTTGAATCTGACAAAGATCGCTTGGATGACGGCTCGATAGAACAGAGGATTTGCTAGGGTTTGGGGCCTTGGCGATGACGGCGTCAGCTGTTGAAGTTGGCTCAAGAAAGGAGGAGAAAGCGAAAGGGCCGAGTGAGTCAGAAGAGATACTATTAGGATGTTATGTAAGACTCGGGCAGGGAAGTCAGGAGTTACGTGTATATCTCGGAATAGAACGGTTGCGGCATGGTAAACCAAGGAACTGGAATTTTGGAATAAAATCATTTTATCCCAAAATTGGGGGGGCATGTGTTTACACCAAAATTTTGGAGAAGAGCGCGGGAACTTGTAGGCTTCCAAGATTGTGCCAATCAAGGAGTCGATTGCGTAAAGATTGATATCTGCCGGTTCGGATGCGACACTGGGATCGGTTCTCTTTAAACAACATCAGCAGATAATGATGATGAGGTATATTTGTCATCGAGAAGATACGTATCAGACTCTACAAAAGGGGAAAGATTAGAGTCCCAGTTATCTTAAAATAGGAATGTTTTCTTCGTACCAAAGATTGTACTGAGTCATACTCGAGTGGGACTCGTTTTTAGGCTCCGGGTATAAATATCAAACCCCGGCTATTGTAAGACACACAATCAATCCAATACAAGTCATTTACTTTTTTTGGCTCCAGCCACCCCTTAGGAGTAGGAGTAGAGTAGATCTCGTCAAGTTCTTCAGTGAGTACAGCTGCATCGATCTGGCCGACCTCCACTGCTTGTCTGTAAGTACCATCATGGTTTATACTTCTGTTCATATGGCTGCATCGATCTAGTCGACCCCCACTACGACTCTGGTATAAGCTAGTTATCGACTTTTGTCTAGTTTAAATATGGCTGCATCGATCCGGTCGACCTCCACTGCTCGAACTAGATTAAGGTCAAGTTATCGGCTCTATGTAAGGGTGGCGTTCCTTCAGATAGATTCATTAAGTTACCAATGTTACTTATTGCTTCCATTATTTATCTAATTACAGCAATATCACTTTGCCCGATTGGGATTAATCTAGATCGGCCTTATATCTTGTTTAACCAATCGTTTGTTAATCCAAAACTGTTCTAATTTGCATCTTAAACAATGAGTTCTGTTTTATCGGCCGTTTTATGTCAATCTTGATCGTGCATAGCGTGCGGTTAAGGCATGTTGTGTCTTGAGTGGATCTATTGGCTAGCGAAAACAGTCCCATGGCCCGTTATCATGGCCTGTGTGATTCTGCCTCACACTCCACTGTTAGCACCGTGGAGTGGGGATCGTTATTTGGTAGATCTATTCCTGATAAGGTATGACCTTAACTGTGCACTATGCCTGAATCGGCTATTTTAGCCGATATCGAGTGCTTTCACGAACAGTTCATGTCACGAGATCGTTGAAGTAAAGATAGGTTGAAAGATGTGTTAGCCCCATGATCTTATTATTGTATTACAGCCTGGATGATTCTGCCTCATGCCCCACTGGTATTAGTAGTAAGTTAGGGTCGTCAAGTCTATTGTTGTTTCTACGGCCTACATGATTCTGCCTCATGCCCCACTGGTCATAGCGATAGATGAGATCTAATAAGTTCATTCGATTTATCTTTATTAAATGGTTGAATGATGATGAACTGTTTCTTTTACATAAAAGGGGTTCGGTTACTTGCGGTCATTGGCTTAGCATAAACCAATTACTATTGACATCTTATTGCCATTGACCAATATTTGTTTAAATAATGATATCCATCCTGAACGATAACCGATTCTTCTTACACAACCCCATGAGCTTTAACCGATTTATTCTTATAAAATGCTGGAATCGACTATTTAGTCAATCTCCTTCTATATCGGCTCTCAGAGCCACACATTCGGAACTGTCTGGCAACACCGGCACGTTCCGCCTGAAATTACTGATAAACTTTCTCTCCTTATCAATTGTAGGGTCAAATTGACTGGCACATCTCGGGAGCAGTGCGCAGGATCGATCATCCCTGCATTGAAGCTAGGCGGATCTACAGCTCCATCGAGCAGACCCTTCCAGCTTGCTCATGTGCCCTCGTCACAAGACAAAATTTCGTGCCGACAGAAGTCAGATGCATGTTCCTGCCATTTGTGTCTTTTTTTGGCTGATTCAATTGTTTCTTGTCATTTGTCAATAATAATAGTTAGAACATTTCACTATTAATTTTATTGATTGTGGAAATACATTTCATTATTAGTGATTACGGCTCTTCTTAATTCAGGTCAATCTTCTAAAATCCAAGTTTGGCTTCGATGAAGCATTCAACTACAAGAAAGAGCAGGACCTGGATGCCGCCTTGAGGAGGTTGGCTAGCCAGCTCTTCTTTTGTGCATTGTACACTTCTTCTGCTTCAGCATCACCAGAGACAGGGGGGTACTGATCATTCCAGCTGTGTCGTTACCATTGCTCAGGTACTTCCTAGAGGGCATTGACATCTACTTTGAGAACGTGGGTGGCCACACACTAGTGGTTGTGCTGTCCAACATGCGCAACCATGGGCGGATCCCTACCCGTGGAATGATCTCACAGTACAACCTGGAGGAGCCAGAGGGCGTGCACAACCTATTCGAAATCATCGGCAAGGGCCTGCGCATGGAGGGCTTCATGGTCTTCGACTACTACGGCCACTACCACAAGTTCGAGCAGGAGAATGGCCGGGTACCTCAAGGAGGGAAAGATTACCTACATCGAGGACATCGCTGATGGGTTGGAGAAGGCGCCGGTGGTGCTCATCGGGCTCTTCACTGGGTACAACATCGGCAAGCAACTAGTCGCCATCGCTAGGGAGTGAGTATGACGATGAGGGCATAATATCTATCCTGAGAGTTGAGAATAATGTCTTAGCGTTGGAGTTCAGATGCGCTGGGAATTGATGGTTTGTAGTGCTTGTAGTTTTATGCTGCTTGTGTGAAAATTTTTGATTTTTCTACTGTTCTTTTCATCTACTTCTGCTCATATGCTTTGTCGATTTTTGCATTAAAAGAAGAAGGCTAAATTGGGCAAGAAGTAAAAAAAAGTAAAAATAAAATGCTAAGGTGGTTTGTTGAGGAATGACTTCCATCACTCCCGCTCCCGCTCCCCCTCCCCCTCCCCCTCCCAGCGTCACCCCGTCTCCTAGCTCCACCAGCCGCTCGCCGCAGCCTATTCCGGGCGCCACGACCACCCAATCCTCTCCCTCACCGGCACCTGTGGGAATCTTCCTCTCTACCCCCGGTGCCACGGTCGGGCGCTCCAAGGGCCAGCAATGGAGAGATGCCTCGCCGTCTTCCGGATCCTCCTCTGAGGATGTCCTCTCTTTCAAGGATGTCCTTTTGGGCGGTGGCGGCTCGCCTACTCGTGTAGCCCGACTGAGGCTGCTGCCTCGCCGGCCCGGCCTCACACGGTTGCCTTGTCCGCGGCTTCAGCTCCTCCTCGTGTGCCTGCTCAGATTACCCTCAGGCCATGCGATCGTCGCGTTCATCCTATTGAGGCGGCTGCCCCTGACTGGGATGGTTCCGTAACCAAGGAAAGTTGATGTCGCCGCCACAAGCGTCGTTGGTGGGCGCTCCCCCCACGATGGCTAGTCTCGGTGGATCTTCGTGGGCACTGCTTCAACTGCCTATCCACCGCTCACAAGGCCACGTCCTGCCGTTCCCGTCTGAGGTGCTTTTCTTGCTGAGGTCTAGGGCATGGCTCTGACGCCTACCCATCCCAGCGTCCCCACCCTCCTTCTGGCCATAGGCAGCTAGTCTGGCGTCCTAAAGTCTCAGCGTTGTCGCAACCACCGGCCATGCAGCCTCCGGTTGCCACGGGTGGCGGAATGGGCGCGCAGCCTTCGACCTCGGACGGTGGCAAGGAGCACATGGGTAAGTGGCATTGTCGATCGCGGAGGGCGCATCCCGTGGTGAGTGCGGCTTTCTCGGGTGATGACACCGGTGAGGAAGTAGACGTTCCTGTCCACCCCCTCCCTGTGCCTATAGTCGGGGTTGGGCAGACTGGTGCCGTTGCTGCTCCGGCTATCCCGAGACGCATTCTCGACTGGTTGGATCCGCTCTCCCACAGCGAGGATGGCTTGCGTTGCGCTCTGGTCATCACCTGGCTAGGAGGTCCCGGGGACGGCGGGTTAGAGCGCATATGTGCCACGATTGCCCTTAGGTTTGAGATCGACGAAACTCAACTAACCCTACATCCCTAGGGTCCGTCCAGTTTCCTCTTGATCTTGCCTAATGAGGAACTTGATGGCATTGTCTACAATGGAGGTCGCCCCATCATCACCACCTCTGCCCGGCTGCATGTCATGCGATGGACGAGGTTTATCTAGGCCTCGGCGGCGAGCCTTTCGGTGACTGTAGAAGTTGAGCTCGTGGGCATCCATGCCCGTGCTTGGAATTTGGCGACCGCTGAAGTTCTTTTGGACAATCTCTGCTGGATTGATGGACTGCACTCGGGCAATGCTGATCAACGTGATGTGTTCATGGTAAGGCTTGGTGCTCCGATCCCACTCTCTTGTCCCTTGAGATGAAGCTGGAGATCATGGAGCCCCCTTTAGCGAATGGTTCCAACATGCGGACGTTAACCTACCCCATCAAGGTCACGGTTCGTCCCCTCATTGAGCCTTGTGCATACCATAATCCCCCTCCCCCTAAAGATGAAGATGAAGATCGTGATCATCGCCGATGTCGTAGGACTCATTCTTCTCCATTGTCTTCTCAGCTCAGGCCGCAGCGCCGGGCGAAGCTACATCCTCCAGCCAAGCTAGCAGGGCCTCGATCCATGAAAGGTTGGGCTCTAGAGTCCATGAGGTGGCTAGGGATCCCTCCTAAACTATCGTGCTCAACATTGATGATCGGTCGGCCATGTCTACTGAGGCCTCGTGATGTGATGTCATTTCGTGTGGTTCCGACGCAGACCGCACTGGAACCAAGGAGACCGTGACTGCGGATGATGTCGTTATCGTGGGGCTGTTGCTCGAGGGCTCCTGCATGCGTGCAGATGTGTTTAAGGAGAGCGTTGCCACTGATATGCCGGTGGAAGGCAAAAGAGATACTGATGTTGGGCAGATTGATGACAGGCCACAGATTAAGATCCCTCTGGAACTCTCCTATGGGCCTTCGATGCGTCCTGTTGAATGAGGAGAATCTAATGGGCCTCAGGCTGGTGATCTCTCTAGGGGACCTCAGTTGGAGGCATCTGGGCTATCTCCCCTCTCCTCTGTGGATGGACTGAATGAAGCCAATGTGGTGGTTGAGTCAAACGCCCCCACCTCTGCTGGCCCAGATATGCTGATCGAGCCTCATGTTGTCTCTATGCCTCCGGTTGAGACTTCATCTCCCTCCCCATGGCCGCCGTCCTCTAATTGCTCCTCCCTGCGATCGCGGCTAGCTAGCTCGGCGCACACTTCCACCGCAGCTCCCTCCTCCCCGAAATCACCACACCCTGCCACTACTGCTACTTCCTCCTCGAACTTGCCACTCCCGGCCACTGCCGCTCCTACCCCCTTGAACTCCTCATCTATGGCCCAGCCGGTGGCTGCGGCTTTGTAGCAGACTTTACTGGTCTACTCACGTCACCATCCTCGTAGAAGAGAGCGAGCGACAGACTCAACTGTTGCCATCCAAGCTTCCCCCAGTGCGCCTCCTAGCCCAGCAACGGAGTTCGTCAAGGCACTAACAAAAATTCTAGGGGTATCATGCCAATTCCCCATGTCAATAAATGAAGGAATAAGAAGCTGGAGCCACCTAGCAATGAGCCCCGATAGAGTCATCGGCTTGTGGGCTTCCCCGCGACCACATCGGAGGTATGCCCATCACATCTAAAGAAACAAGTCATGTGTGCATTGGATATGAATGTTGATGAAGAAAGGGAACGCATTAGCCAGCAAGCCCTGGATGATTATGCGCAATGCTTTAAGCAGCCAATGCCAACTTCTCACACTAAGGCCTTGGCTGCTCTTTTCGAATGGGCACTCCCTGAGGCAGTTTCTGCTACTGACTTGGTAGAGTGTATTGTCTAATTGCTCCTCCAGGTCGCTTTTGTTCCTTAGTATCATTATGGATCTGGCACACATCCTAATTGGAATGTACGAGGTTTGAACTCAGCAGCGAGACATGATGTTGTTAGAGTCATGGTGGATGCCTCCAAGATTGATGTTGTTTGCCTACAAGAAACTAAAATGAGTATGGTTTCTAGGCGTCTAGTCATGTCCATGTTAGGAAGTGAATTTGATAATAATTTCATTTACCTTCCTTCTGATGGAGCCAATGGTGGAATTTTGGTGGCTTGGCGGATTCAACTGGGCACTATTGGAGCTACCAGGGTGGATGCTCATAGTGTCTCTGTTTAATTCTGCCCATCTGACGGTAGTGCGTGGTGGTTGACCTGTGTATATGGCCCCCAACAAGATCAAGACAAGATCCAATTTCTTCAAGAGCTAAGGGATTTCAGAGTTTAGTGCTCTAGGCTATGGCTGGTAGTCGGGGACTTCAATCTTATTTATAAGGAGGAGGACAAAAACAATTCCAATCTTAATAGAGCAATGATGGGAAGGTTCAGAAGATGGATAAATGATTTGGTGGTCTCTGAAATTCCTCTTCATGGACGTAAATATACATGGACCAGCTCCTTCACTAATGTTTCCCCTACTCTTGTTCGGTTGGACAGATTGTTCTATACACTTGATTGGGAAGATCAGTTTCTAGGTAGTCTCCTGCAGTGTGCTGCTTCTAATGACTCTGACCACTGCCCCCTGATCCTTGGGCTACAGGATATCATTGGCTTCAATAAAAGATTTCATTTTGAAGCTTTCTGGCCCTCTCTAGATGGTTTTCTAGAAGTAGTGAAGGATGCTTGGGACAGTGTACAACCTAGAACTTGTCCACTTGATACCCTTGCTTTGAAACTCAAGGCAACTGCCAGAGGGTTACAGAGCTAGAGTCATAAGAAATTTGGTCACTTCAAGTCCCAATTGCTTGTGGCAAAAGAAATCATCCACCAACTTGATATTGCTCAAGAAAGTGGGCCTCTTTAACCTAATGAATTATGGCTACATAATAATCTCAAGAAGCATTCACTGGCGCTATCTTCCCTGCTAAGAACAATATCAAGACTTAGTTCCAGGACATATTGGCTAAAGGATGGGGATGCCAACACAAGGCTTTTTCATCAACATGCAAGATATAGAAAAAAGAAGAATTTCATCCCCAAATTGCATGTTGGAGATCAGGTTATCACAAAGCATGAGGATAAGGCAGCTGCTGTTCTAGATTTTTATGACAGTCTCATTGGGACTAAGTGCGCTAGAGGGAGAACTATCAATCTGGACACCCTTGGCAGCCCCGGCTTTGATCTTGAAGCTTTGGATTTGCCTTTTTTAGAACAAGTGTGGAACACCATAAAGGAGATGCCACCTGATAAGGCTCCTGGACCGAATGGGTTCACTGACACATTTTATAAAAGTTGCTGGACAGTTATCTAGAATGATGTGATGGCAGCAATTCATTTTCTTTGGACCGGAAATTTCAAAACCTCCAGAAACTGAATTCTGCATACATTACTCTGATTGTAAAAAAGACTAATGCTATTCAAGTCAAGGTTTATAGGCCAATTAGCTTAGTTCACAGCTTCACCAAACTTGTGACCAAAATCCTGGCTAATAGGCTTGCAGGTCGGCTGGATGAGATGGTGTCCTCCAATCAAAGTGCTTTCATTAAAAAAAGGTTCATTCA